GGTGTACACCCCTGATGGTCTTTTTGGAATCCGTGTAGCGTGCCCACACCCATGCAGACGAACTCCAAGACATTCACTGAGCTTTAATGACACTCGGAGCAGCAGAATACAGCAGGTTACCCAGTCTGAACAAAAGATGGAACTCCAGAAAGGGAAACTCACCTCGACAAGGAAACACAGAGGAATGAGGAGAGCAGAAAGTAGTGACGAGACACTGAAAGCTAAGTAAGTAAATGACTGGCCTTTCCTGTCTTAAGGCCCTTATATTATCAGAACTCTCCAAAAGAGCACTTGCATCCAGACTAGGGCATACTTGTGGCCTTTTCACTCACAATGTGTTTTACACCCCTGTAAAACACCACGGCAGACCCTGGTGCAAATTCATGCTTTGCAGCATCCTTTATTGACTCACACGGTTGCTGTTCACAATGCTCACAGAGCTGCAGCTCTCCCGCTGCCCGCTCAACATTATCACAACAACAACGCCAACCACAGGACCCAGTACAATATTTAATTCGGCGGGGCATGATTGCGGATGCCGTGCAGGTGGGTCCGCCTCCTCTGCACGGCACCGCAGGCCACGCCCCGCCACAACCCCATCTGCATGTAATTATGAGACACCCCAAAAGGTTCATTCTGTTCATCTGGTGTCGAACTCCAAGCCTCGAGGGCCAGTGTCCTGCAGGTTTTAGATATGACCCTGGGTCAACAGACCTGAATCAAATGATTAGTTCATTACCAGGCTCCTGGAGAACTTCAAGACATGTTGAGGAGGTAATTTAGGCATTTCAATCAGCAGTGTTGGATCAAGCACACATCTAAAACCTGCAGGACACCGGCCCTCAAGGCCTGGAGTTCAACACTTTCAGTGGAAGAAACATTTTGTCACTCATCGAACTGACTTCAATCTCAGCTGATGGATGAAGGCACTTGAGATTACATACCTGGATGGTTAAGCATGCATCAAGACATAATTATGAGATACTACTGTTCTATCAGAGGTTCTTCTTGTTAACAGGGAGTTTCTCCTTCCCTCTCTCACCAAGCACTTGCTCAGTTGATTGTCAGATTTTTTGCATTTTCTCTGTATTATTGTAAGGTCTTTACCTACAATATAAAGTGCCTTGAGGTATTTGGTGCTAAATAACTGAAACTAAATTGAAGGGGATTTAAATACACAAGCAGCTAATAAGAGAAAAAAAACATTGGGCAGGAAAGGCCATCACTAAAGCACGAAAGGTTAGCAATAGATGGAGCTCGGAGAATAATAGTTGTCTGTAGTGCTCAGAGCAAAGTCAGCCATAATTTTATGCATAATATCAATTTAAATTCAGTTTAACTCAGGGAGGTGCAGCCATCTACTGCAACCAGGTGGAGGTGAAGGTAGGAAGACAGGGCCAAAAACACGCTGTGGAAGAGAGCCAGAGATTAACATGAACAGACAAACAGGGACTGTAGCTTTTCAACTATTTTTTACCAGGTTGTGTCATTGTCTGCAAGAAGCGCTGTGGAGTATATTTAAGGACCTGTATGAAGTGAGCATGTTTCTTACTCACAGCTCTAATTACATGATGAAAATCTAGTCCAATTTTATTTATAAAGCACTTTAAAATACCCAGCACAGGACCAAAGTGCTGTACAGAAAGTAAGTTAAAAACAATAAAATAACAGAAGAAAGCAAAAAATAATAAAAAATAATAACTCAAAATAATAATCCACAAATATGAAAAGAAACTGAAGAGTTAAGTCAAGCCAAGATGCAGAAACAGGAGTAGTTATCAAACAGGACCTTTGCTGTCTGCTTCACCAACCTCTATCAATCATTAGATGATGTCACAGACTGGTGACATCATCCAATATCACCAGTCTGGCTTACCTGAACAGGTGAACTCCAGAACCGAAGAAGCGGTCCACGATATTACACATCTTGACAAATCATAATCAGGTCGACATTCAGCTATGAGTAGCCACAAAGATTGGTATGACACCTGTCTCTTTCGTAAAGAAACAGCAGAGCCACAGTTCAGATCTCGACAGAAAGCAGCTGCTGCCTCCATTTCAAAGTAGTCCACTACATCTCCACTAGTAGCTCGTCTCCATTCTCCCAGATGCTTCAGCTCCAGTGTGCCTGCACAGCGACTGGCTCCTCCCACCAACCTCATAAACTCTGAACAGAAAGCAGAGAGTTTCAGTAAGGAGGGGAAATTCCTCATAAAATTTTCTAGTGAGTTTGATTTTGGTACTATTTTTTATTTTTCTGTTTACCTGTTGAATCGTGTTTTACTTCAGCCTGGAGTCCTGAGGAGAAAATGAGAGAAGAACCATTGTTTTGTGTTTTTTTTTTTTCTCTTAGCTGCGTCACCTGCCTCATGTGCAAATCTCAAAGCCTCTTAACTTTGTCTCAAAACCTCTTGGAAAAGTACAATAATATGAATGTAGTCATATTCATATTCATATTCATATACTATGAACAAGCACATGATGACAGTGGGGATGAAAAACTCCCTCTTGGTAGGAAGAAACCTCCGTTGAATAGATAGTATGAAGAGAAAGCTTAATGGGACTCGTTTTAAGTACTGTTAAATGAAAGCACATGGGACTAAAGAAAAACATAACTAGTAGTAGCAGTCTGTAAAGTCTTTTTATAGACTTTTTTGAATAGAGATTTAGTAATAAGACAATCAGTGACTCAAACAGTTATTGATCGCCCCTGTGTTTGCACAGTGGCATCAAAGCAGAATGTTCTCAGCCCCTGATACGTTATGTGCAGCAGGCCACCAGTTAAAGTGTCATTTTGCAGCGACAATGCATCAGTCAGGGGGGATTTCTTGCATCAGATCAGGAAACCTCCCCGTTTGAAAATCTAAATTTTGAATGACAGCATCAGGTAAACGTAACTCAGGAATGTCAATGAAGCAGCTTCAGGATTTTTAAAATACTCCAGAAAGACAAAACAGAAATACAATGACCTGTTTAACCCTTTCAAAGGCCCAAACTCTTCTAGTTTAAAGACTGTGGAATGCATACTAATTGTATTACTAGATGTGGTAAACCGTTTGTAGGGTTTGGTACTGCAGTTGCACTTTCATTGGTATTTTATTGTTCTTTCAAATCACTTACTTACGACCCCAACAGTCAGCTCGGGGTCGTAAGTAAGTGATTTTTGGGTCGTATTAAAGTACTACAAACTAAAGTAATTCTGCAGAAAGATGAAAACTGTGGCTCTTAAATGATTGCAGCAGAATAGTTAATAAAGTTTTAAAACATGTGAGGCTGCAGGTCAAAGTGACCGTAAACAGATTAAAAACTGACTTTTGTTTTTTGGCGTCTGAACGATTCTAAATTGAAGCTGTTGAAGTGTCACAGTGCAGTTTTTTCTTTCCTTCACTGATCCTTTTATATGATGCACGTGTGTGTCGTGGTGATGTTAGTGTCCTACCTGAGCTCCACAGCAGCATCAGCAGCAGCAGGGGATTAATGTCCATGTTGACGTCTCTCTGCTCCGATCATCACGTGTACTTTGCCTTTATACCTGCCACAGGGGAGGAGGAGGAGGAGGCAGAGCTTCACGCCTCTCTGACTGTTTTCGATTAATCGGTGTCATCTCACAGACTCTCGGGCACACATTGACCTTTTCCTTTCATTCATGTTTCAGGTGTGAGCAGTGAATCAGACGGTTTTTATACTGGTGTCCACTCTCAGACCAGTTCACTCCCAGTTTGTCTCTGAATACAGGAGTCTGCTGCTGTGACTAGACTGCAGGCCAGAGGCTGCATATCTGGGCTGATCTGACTGGTGTTGGGATTAAATAATTTGCAGTGCCTTAATAATGGTATGCTTTTTTTTATTACTAAGTGTTATAAAGTCAGATACTTTAGTATTAAGTGGACACAGCCCTGAAAAATAAAGGCATGAGACCATGTGTCCTTGAGGAGTTTAAAGCTGCAGACTCTCGCTCATGTTTGCCTGGGCAAATGTAGATAAGAGGGACCATCTCTAGTGGAAAGTTACTGAGACATTGTTGTTTAGACTGGAATGAGAGAGCTTCTGTAATGAAACAGTTGTGGGCGCACTACCATTTTGAGATCTGTGGCAGCGTGTCATGCAGGACGCACCTCCCTTCTAGAAGTAATAAAGTGTTAAACGGAGCAGTGTTTTGTCTTCCATTGGATGCCTCTGATGAATCAAAAGAACTCGGTGTACTGTTGATATTCACACTGGGAGGGGGAAAAGACCACCTATTGATCGATTCACAAATCTGCTGATGAAGCTATATGCGAGGGGTCAAAGGTTATAAAAGGCTTGTTTATTACAAACAGACTACTATTAATTCTTTAAAAAAAAAACAATACAATAAGTTTACATACCCCTTCAAAATGCCTGGTTTTTGTAATGTTAAAAATCATTCAATGCATTTTAATGTTTGCTGTAACTTATTAACTTCTATTTCAAAACAAATCTTTTAGGGGGAGAATATATCTTCAAAAGCAGAAGAGATGCCTTTGTGATCTGATAGATTTTGAGTGTTTTGCAAGGTAGAGTGGGCAAATATTGCCCTGTCAAGATGTGCTGTGCTGACCACAACTCAACAAGACCGAATGCTGTAATTACAGTTTTTTACAGTCGCTAACAAGCGTTTGTCCAAACAGTTGTCACATTTGCAAA